TGGTGAGGCCAATTTGGAAAGCAGTATGGAGATTCCTGGGAAAGCTGGGAATGGATCCACCATTTGACCCAGCTATTGCCCTTCTTGGACTATTCCCTGAGGACCTTAAAAGAATGTTTCATTTTTGAAAGGTCTCTTTGGAAGTTGTTGTACATAGGACCCTGAACAAGAATGTGGGATGATTTTAATGGACTTGTTTTTAAAATATTTAAACATTTCCCTCAATGACTTTTGGGCATTTTTGTTTGTCTGTTTGTTGTAGTGTGTTTCAGGGGTAAGATAAGGGGATCATATCTAATCATGCTTAGAATTCTTCAAAGTTGTCCCTTTACATATATTTCTTGCCATGGTTTCCAAAGCCCTGAACATTTGGACCTTTCTTTTTCTAGTTTCAACCTGAACAACTTGACCCTCTTTCTCTGTGGTCTACCTAAATGTCATTTTTTCAATTCCTTGACACTTTTCCTCCCTACCACTCCAGAGCCTTTACATATAGTACCAGTGCTGGAAAGTCACACCACATGTGCATATTCACACACATACACACACACACACACACACACACACACACCACATTCATATATGCACCCCCACATCCTCACCATGCATATACCTGTCCACAAATACACAGTCACCAGCCACACACTCACTTGTCATTCACTCACTCACTTCTACCAGTTAACCATTAGTCATCCTTCTGATTTCAATTCAAGCAGCAGTTTTGCAGGAAATCCTATCCTATGCCTCCTGGGTTAGATCAGGCTTTTAGCTTTTACATTCTCCAGGAACTATTCTTTTCCTTCAGAGCATTCAACTTAGTCAGAAATTATATAATTATTTGGATAATGCTTCATTAATGGTAACCTCCACCCTAGAGTGTGTAAACCCTCTGAGAACAGAACCTGAGTCTATTTTTGCTCACCACTGTATCCTCAGCCTGGTACACAGAGCCTGGTACATGGAAGGCATGCAGTAAATATTGGCTTAATGGATGAACTGATGCAACACATGGATGAAGTTATAACAGAAACCTGAGCATATGTGTCTGCGCATGTCTATGTGTGTCTTTCGGGAAATGGGAATGTTGCTAATGGAACTCGAAGAAGATATTTTCAGTTTCCTTTAATTGTGACTGTTCTGCAACATGGAAAGTAGAAATGACAGTATTCTTCATATGAATCAATTTGTTTGCTAATTTTGCTTAAGAAATCAGCAGTCATTCAGTCACATAAACACTATGAATGATTCATATGCCTCTGGTTAACATTCAAGGAAGAAAATTTATTTATACAACTTACAACTATCATATAAATACCATGTCTTGTTAACTATGTGCCTGTGTTCAATTCAACTTAATCACAGAAACAGTAATTACTCCTCTCTAACACCATTAACAACCTCCTAATGTGCCAGAGAGAAATTACTCAATAAACAAATATTTAATACACTAGAAGTGACCAATTGAGGGTTACATTATACACCCTGATTGTCCAGTAGCAGTGGCCTTCCTTCACTTGCCCTTTGCCACTCTACCTCCCCCACCATGAAACAGCCTGTGGAATTTGGGACCATTCCAAATAGATAGGATGAAGAGCACAAATACATACACTGAAGCTTAAGGAGAAATGATATGGGAAGGCCCCGTCACCCACGACTGACTGGTACAATACAGCTGGGAATGCATTTTTGATCATGTACCAGATAATTCAAATAGTTGCAGAATGGAGAAAGGTTGATAAAAAGCACATGGGGAATCAGAGAGCTTAAAATAGTCAAGATTGCATACCAAGGCCAGATTTCAGCTCCAGCTACCAGTGGTTCTTGCCCATCCAAAAGTTGGCTTAGAGAGAAATGATCAAAGCATAATTCTACCAATAAATTTACATTGAAATATAGAAACTAAGGGCCTTAACAATTACCTTATATTTTGGCTTCCAAGGACATACTTTGAGACTTGCCTACAGGGTCCAACTATCCATGAAATCATAGGAATTACACTCTGTGGTTCATGAGCAATGCCCTTTCACAGGACACATTCTCTGAGGACTATGTTGGTGACTTCTAGAAGAGTAGGCATCAAGCAGTCATAATACAGTCTTGCATTATAGCTTCCATTTTATTTTAAAATCTGTCAATCTTGGAATAACTCATTATTTAAAATCTGAATTAATTTGCATGGATTTGCCATCATAGGAATTATTCTCTTAAATTCATTATTTGAGATATTTTAAAAAACAAAAGTTATACATATATATGTGTATATATGTATGCATATGTGTATATATATATATCTTTATCTACATATCAATATGTATACATCTATATAAATACACATTGAAATAGCTACATTAAGTAGTACAGATATTTATAAATTAAAATGTTAAGTCCCTCATTTCTCCTTCCCTTGCTGCATATTATTTCCCATTCTCCAGAGATATTCAGCACTGATAATTTGATGTATTTATTTTTACTTTTACACAATAGGATTCTACCATGTATACAGTTCTGCAACCTACTTTGGTAAGTCGCATAAGATATATTTGAAATACCATTGAGAAAACTGGGTGAAGTATATGAGATTTACTGCACTCTTTTTTCTGTCGAATGAGTTCATAAATATTTTAAAATAAAATGCTTTTCTAAAAACAATAAACTTTTCACTTGAAAATGTATCTTAGTCTATACAACCTTAATACTTTACAACTACCTCATTCTATTGAATTTATTGTTAGGATATGTGATAATTCTTTGAACCAGTCTCCTATTGAAGGACAGCTAGTTGTTTTGTTTTTGTTTTTAATTATTACAGTAATGATACCATGGACAATCTTATACTTTTGCCTCCAGTTGTGATGTAATTTGACAGGCTGAGCTCCTCCTGTTTCCATCATCCTTACTGTCAGGTAAATGTCTAAACCTTAGAACCTCAGGCAATTGTGTGAGGAAAGTTTTAGAATTAGCACATTTACATTTGGGTAAGAAACATCAAGTCAGAGCAGACATAAGCAACTTACTGAAGGGTTTGTGTCTGCTCCTCCAAAGCTGCCTCTGCTGTCCAGCCACACCCGCACCCGGCAGATGCACGTGCTCATCAGATCCTTTCCATGTGTTCAGAAAAGTGTTTAGGAGGCTCGCATGACTGAGCAGCCTTCAACCTTGACACAATCAAACAAACAAAACCATCTGCAAGTTCAACAAAGAGGAGAGAAGGAGCTTCCCCAAGCTAGATGAAAACATAAGCAAAGAAATAATGAACTTCTAAAAACAATTGCTTAAAACTGTGCAGTAGGCAGGCCTCCTAAATTTGGCACCTCTTCCTATTTGATGACCAGTGACAGGTTTCATCAGAATTCCATGTTTCACCCTTAGGATGAAGCCAGACTTGTTTTGAATATTAATTTCTGTCATTATAATAACATATCCATTTTTACATTTATTAATGTGATAAATTTCGGAGCCCTGACTATGTGAAGGGCACTGTGCCATAAGTACTGGGTTACAAGATAAATAAATCAACTCCTGCACCCCCAAAAAAAGCTCTGCCTAGACCAGCAGGCCTTAGCCATGGACCCCTTTGGGAATTTAATAAAAACTGTGAAACTAAAGAAATATGTTTGCACATATACACCAAAAACTTTACCAATGATCTTAAGAGTACCCCCAAATTTGGAAAACAAAACTCTTCACCCATGAACCTAGTTTTAGACTTACTATTACAAGTGCAAAATGGGCAACAAGAAGAATTAGAGGATTCTCCACTCAGGAGGAGTACAGTCCTGCCATATGGTCTTCTGCTTGACTTGTTTTCTCATGTAGACATTTTCCTGTAGCAAACATAGTCCATTTTTGTCAGATGAGACATTAAACTCAGAGAGGCAGCATGGCTGGCCCAAGGCCACTCAGCTAAATGCTGACAAGACCCTGACCACAACCCACCAAACAGAGATAAAAAGTTCTATCAAATTCATGAAGTTTTCCATATGGATGTTTTTTAGATCTTCTTTCTCCCTGCCCCCATTACTTCTTCCCCCATATATGTTTGTACAATGAGTTTCCTTGTTATATTACATATTCCTCAGTGCTTAGCAAAGGGCCTGGTACATAGTCAGTACTCAGTGACTCTTGGGTGAATAAAAGTTCATTATACGGAGAAAGAGATTAGAGAGATTAGCTTCCACTAAGTGTGTTTCTCAGTTCATGTTCTATCTTCAAAGATTATCTCTGGGACATGAATCAGTTCTTTGACATGTTACTCTTTGTTTCTCCTGTAATCCCCACTCATCCTGCGTGCACATGTGAGCGTGCGTGTGTGCGCGCGCACACACACACACACACACACACACTTTTTAAACTGATATGTGATAAGTAAAACCAAGATGAATTGAATCTAGTTTAAACATCTAACACTAAGCAGCCTTTGACTCCACAAAATGAAAAAATTTTCCATCTTATATGCAAAAATAGAAAAAGACTTAACCAATAATTTAATTATTTAAATTAGTTACAGAGTTTGAATTTTTTTCAGCTAAAAGCTTATTGAGAAAAAAGAAAAAGAAAAAAGAAGAAGAAGAAGAAAAAGCCAAACTGTAACTTACCAACTAACTCAAGCCAAATAACACTTTGGAAAGCAATGTGGTTACAAAAGCAATAAATGAATGGCTTAGCCCTTCTTGTGTCCTGAAATTGGACGCACCGTTGCCAAGAAGGAGTAAAGAAATGAGTCTGTATTTCATTTAACTGCACTAAATTCCTTGAGGGTAAGATCTATTTCTGATCCATATTGTATTCTAGAGGATTGTCTGGCACATAGTGAATGCTCAGTAAGTGTTTATTAAATTAAATTAGATTTTTGCAAAATTTGTACGTATCTGTAATATATATCTATATGTGTACATATTGTATAAATATACTGGGTAGGTAGATATGCTAAAATATAAGCTATATCTCATATCTTCTCATATGCAAACTGTAAAGAGCCCATACTCCTCATTTATGTGAGACCAGGTTGGTTTATGGAATTCCATCTGGTAGGCGGCTGGGCAGAGTAACTCAGGGTAGAGCACTTACCTGGCATGTTCCTACTCTGGTTAAAGCACCCTGTATAGTACCAATTTTTTTGAATACTATCTCTGAGATATTTTCCTAAATGCACAGATAAAATGATCCACTATGGTTTGCAGCTAGTGTCAATTTTGTGCTCAAGCCAAGTTTGGAGCCAATATCACTCAGCCTTGGCCAGGAACTTTCACTCTTCCATATATCTCACCCACTCAGTCCAGGGGGCCTCTACTGCTCCATGCTGAGCTGAGTGTAGCTCTCCACTGCAGGCTGTTACCCCACCTGTATGGTTTTTTCCTACTATTCACTTTACTCGTGGTAGGTAATTCAGGTCAACAAGGGCTGACCAGAGTAACAGGTTGAAGAGCTGGACTTACACAAAGAAGCAAATGGAGGGTAAATCATGAGGCTGAAACACCAGCTTTATGGAACCTCAGAGTGTTTTCAAGCAAGTGGTTGACAAGACAGAGGACTAAGATGAGAAGGTAGCTGGAGATTGATGGAAGCTATGCAACACGATTAAGAGTGTATGAAATGTCACTGTGGCCTGGGAGGATGACCTGTAGTTGGAAGCAACTGGGTCCCAAAATAATGCAGGACTCAGAGGAATCGAAGGACCCAGGAGAGCAATCATGAAGGCATGTCCCAGAAGCACACTTCAGCTGCTCCTTGGTGAGCCAGTTCAGTCAGAATTTTCGGGAATATCTGGCTTGCTTGTCATATGAAGTTCTTAGATTTCTTACAACTTAGAAGGATCTAAGCATCCTGTTCCAGGAACAGCAAGACAACCCTGGAAAGGTTTCCCTGCTACCTTCTTATCCAAATTACCTTTGCAACAAGAAAAAAATGAAATGGGCAGAACACTTGGCACCACTCTAACACTCAAACCACAATAATTCTCCTTTCTCTAAAATCACCTCAGGGCTCTCAGAAAGGGGATCAGGCCAAACCCACATCTCCTCCATGTGTTCTCTGGACCCACACTAGATAGACTGAAATGTGGTCTCTTCACCAGCACCTAATGTAGCATCCCAGCACTTAATAAATATTTAGCACTATCAAATGTACTTTCAGGAAACAGCTTGGAAATGAGTTGCCTCATTTTTAAGCAGCTGCTTGAGAATTGTGCATTTTGCAAAAGCTAAATGGACTCGTTAATAAAAATAAACGATTCCATGTGTTACATGATATTCTTTTAGTGTTACTTTCAAAGCCGCATGCCTGAGAAAATAGCTCCCTTAATAAGACAGAATGACTCCATTTTTTTTATTAAAATGATAGTGAAATCCATCTGTACATTCCACAAAGGTCTGAGCACCTTTCATATGTTCAGTACTGTTGTGAGCACTGAGATGGTAGCAATGAATGAAGTAGATGAACTTTCATGGTGATTGCATTTTGGAAAGCAAAAGTACAAACACAAATAAATAAATGTGTGTCAGATGCCATAAAGAAGAAAGTAGAGAAGAGGGTGAAGAAGGATGAAGAATGTGTTTTTATAAGTAATATATGACATCTCAGAAGAGGTGAGACTCAAGAGACCAAAATTAATTAATTGAAATGGCAAAATAAATATACAATATGTAATATGGTTATATGAATAATCAGAGGGAGTTCCAGGTAGTTGGGAAAGTAAGCACAAAGACCCTGAGGATTGAGCATGTATGTTTGGCCACAGGCAAGGAACATTGGCAAGGAGGCCAGTATGTTTGGATGAATGAGAAGGAAAGTGTGAAAGGATGTTGGAGCGGTAACAGGAAGTCAGATTTTGCCAGGCTTGATAAGCCACGATGAGAACTTTGGTGTCATTCTGAATGCGACGGAAAATTACTATTAGCTTTTGAGTAAGGCAAGACCACATGAAACTTAAGATACCCCAAACAACATTGGAGACTTCTTTTCTGAGTCAAATGTGGACTGGAGTTCAGAGAACCCCAAACTGGTTCTATAAGTGCTGGACTCAGATATAAAATGTATGCACGTTCAACTGGCAGAAATATAAAGGAATTCCTTGGAGGCTGAAAATATAAGTCCAGCAGGGTAAGCAAGCAGTGAAGAAGTGTTTGCCATGGGATTGTCTGCAAATTCCTGCTGTCTTAGAATCTGGATTTTAAAAGTCCTTTCCTCTAGGAGATGAGGGTAAATCATGAGATCTGAGCCAAGTAGGCCAACAGGTGAGTGAGTACTTATACAGTCATGGCACTTATAATCAAAAACAACTATCCAATAGAGGGAGATTGGGAAGAAATGCCTGATGGGTTAAGGCCTCAGATGGTATATTTAAAGAGAGAGAGAGAGAGATTCTCTAAGAATTTCTATGTATACAGGTATAATACTGCAATCACACAAATTTGGGGACATAGTTCATAAAACTTTTGAGACAAAAAAAGAATAAAAAGAATAAAGGGTATGGGGTCAAGAGTTCTTCTAGAAGCCCAATTA